AAGTGCTGTTCTGAGGTGTCATCCAGACCCATGTAGGAACTACGAGAAAAGAGCTCTGACAGCAACCCACAGCACCCAGCACGGCCAGCCCTGCACCATGAACACCCCATGAAGCAAGAGCTGCCTTAACTGTTCCAAGGCACCCACTGGAGGAGCCTGTCTGTCCTCTTGGGAAAGCAGAGATCTTAGTCCTGTGGTAGATGAAATCTGTCATGGACAGCCAGGCCCTCAGACCGGAGGCCAGCCCATCCTGGACAATCATCTTTGCACCAGGAGGGTATGGGCTGCTTCAGAAATGTTTAGTTCCTGTGGTGCTGTTCTGTAGCAAAAGGCACAACAGCACAACAGTGTGGGAATTACACAGCACATGGGGATCAGGTTTAAAGATTAAATCTGAAATGAAGGCCCTGACTTTGGCATGTTGGTCCCTGTGGGACAGGAGGCTCTTGCTGGTATTATTACATTTCTGTCTGCTTAATGTACATCTCACCAAAACCACTTCAAGTGATGCTGAAAAGATGTTGCCTGGTTCAGTCCGTGCTAAAGGATGTTAAATTTAATTGATTCCCAATATATTTACTGTACCATACTGTCAAATCTATTTTACAGGTGTGCGTGCCAGACCTTTTATGAAATAAATAATATATTATGGGATGGGTAATGAGCTTGGCTAATTACCATGAATTCCTCCTGGGTAAAACTAGTGTAAGAAGATGGCTTGATGCCACTGCTTTGCAAGGTGTTATGTGAATGTAGACAAAATCAGAATCTTGTTCCTATATTTGTCTTTGTTGGGGGATAGTGTCTGGGAAAGCTGCAGCTTGGCTGGCAGGGGATGATTTGCCAAGATCAAGTTCCAAGTTCCCTGCCTTTCTGGCAGGAGAGACTTTTGCCTTCCATCAGTTTCAGCAGGCTCCCAGAGAGCATTGCCTCCAAATCACCCTAAAACTTGAACTTATAAGCAAATCAGAAGAAATTCTTTTGCACTCAGGCCCCCTGCTTGTCAGAAATCTCTGAACCTTGAAAAGATCCCATAATATATTACCAAGCCTGTCTCAGCCTTTTTCTTTTTTTTTTTTTTTTTCCATTGAATTCTGATGAACCTATTCACCATATGTCATGGGTGTCCTCAGGGAACACTGAGATGAAATAAACTGAAAAGGCACTTTGGACCCTGCTAAGTCAGCAGTTGATTATTTTTTTTTTCCTGAGCAGGAAAGCTTAGGAAAGACAGAGGCAGCACAGGTTCTTGCAGCCTTGGGGTCTGGATTCCATTCTACTGGCATTAGCTAGTGGAATCTTTTTCTAGTTCTCTATATGGTTCTTTGTAGGGTTTTTTTATTCTGATATCTCTGCAGCTTTGAAGCCTCATGTAAGTCTAAGGCCATGAGAGGCAATTAATCAGGCCATTAATCACTTACAGCAATTTAAGAACAGTATATGTATGATAGCCAACAAATCCTCACAAGGAGCACTGTGAAATGGATGCATACATTTTTGTGGTCTTTCACAACTAGTCCAGGTAGTTTGCCTCAGTTACAGGTCACAATCCTGCTCACCAACCTTGAGCACCATGAAGAAGACATTTGGTAAGTTATACACGGGAAACAGAATTCTCCTGGAGTGACACAGGGACACAAAAAAGAGCTAAGATTGGCCTCCACAGTACTTTTGTAACACCTCACAGCCACAGCTTCCTTCTGTATGACTAGCTAGACCTTTTTGCATAACCATTGTACCTGGTAATTTTGAGTGAATTTTGGCCCTGAGGAAATTCCACGCACAGGTACAACCCATTCTGTAGGGCTGTATCCACTGGGCTCGGAGCAGGCACGGAGGGGGAAGGCAAGGTTAGTGTGAATGTGTGCTGAGCTGGGGTTCTGATCCCAGCACAGAGTCTTTAGGGCCCTCGGTAATGCTCTGGGAGAGCAGTGCTGGGGTGGGTGGTGCTTCTCACACATGTGTGGCTGAATAGTCCCTGCGGCCTTAGGGCCCTCCTGTGCCTTGAGGAATAACCTAAATGCCCAAGGAGGTTCAAGGAAGCTTCTTGAGCATTTTGGATTGATCCAACACCCTGTGCCTCACTGGCCAGGGTCAGAACTGGGTGTGGTGAGGGCACCTAGGGTCAGACACAGCTCAGTCATCAGTAGGTCCGTGGTGATGTGGCAAGTCCGAGATCAAGTTATGGAGTCAGTCTTCAGGGTCCTGAATGCGTGTCCATGGCTGCATAAAGGGGAAACCTGTGGCAGGGCTGGAGACCAGCACTCTTATAGTGTTGCTGGGGCAGGGATTGATGGCTCCAGGCTGGGGAGAGAGCCTGGGGAACCTTCATGTCTGGAAATATTTAAGAGCTGCCTGGAAAAGGCCCAGATCAACCTTATCTGCCTCTGAAAATGGCCCTTCTTTGAACGGGGTGTTGGAGGAGAGACCTCCAGCCTTCCCTCCCAGTCTGGGTTAGTCTGATTCCACAAAGCCTGCTGCTTTTAATTCTATATTGGTGGTGGATGCAGGATATCCTGTCACTGTGCATGTTACTCACTCAGTCTCTACACTGTGTGTGACAGAAAACCAAGCGGAGGGATGCACCCACCAGAGGTGACGTCCTCCTCGCAGAGCAAACTCTTACACACACCCCGTGTTCCAGCCAGAGCAGTCCTCAGGAGTACTGAGCTAAGCACGTGTGCCAGCTTAGAGGACCATCATGTCAGGGAATATTGGCTGGCAACTGGAGTCCATTCAGGCTCCAGGGGAAGTCAGGGGAAGGCGAGCTCTCCATCTGACTGCCTCGGGTCCTGCCCTGCCTAAAGCAGGTCTGGGGTAGCACACTGCGCTCCGTGGCCTTGACTCAGCTGAGCCATTTGGAGTGTGTGTCTGGCTGAATGCTGAAATAGCTTTATAGGGCACAGTCCAGCTCCCACTGAAATGCTGGGAAAGCTTTTTCCATGCACTTCAATGAAAATGTGATCAAATCTGTGTCACCTGATGGTCCCTTAGGCTGAGCTGCTCCGCTGGTTAAAATCAGAATTGCCCATAAAAATGTTACAGTGTAACATGTAAGGGAAAAGTCCTTTAGTAAGATTTCTTGCGATGTGGATAGACATAGGAGAGAAAGAATTAAAAGTAAAAAGTTAAAAATAACTTCAAGTGTAGGAAAAATTGTAGGATCAGGAATAGAACAATGCAAATTTTGATAAGGTGTTCAACATAAAAGAACAGTTTTATCCCTCATTTTAATGTATTTCCTGACTGATCAGCATGCAAAGATGCCATTTTAATAAGCTTTGACAAAGTTGGTTATATAGAATTTCTTTAAGAGACTGATTTCTTCTGTGAGTTTATTTTTTAAGTCTAAGTGGTGGCTACAAGCATGTGTACAAAAGAAGAAACTTTCTAAATTTTAATCCTTCATCTTTCTTAATTCTGAAGTTGTGGTAGTGACTGGCTCACAGATTTGGAGCCCTCTTAGAAACTGTGGGAATATTTCTAAATTTGATTGTTTATCTGTTGAACAGAAAAGCTTCTGTTGGAGAGAATAAACTCCCTTTTAAAGTACTAGTAAGTGTGCAAAAGTGGTCAGAGGCTTAGGAGGCAAAGTCTATTTACAGCTAGAAGATTTGAACTCTTAAGGGCTTACAGCACTTTTGAAAATAAGACTTAAATGCTTCTAAGTAATTTGGGCACTACATAAAATCATATCTAATTTCCCTCTTTTTGCTCTGACATCAACACCAATCATAAAATGATTTATTGTCTAGTTGATAGCAGAAATGGTTTTATGTGGAGCAAATCCAAGAGAAAGAGATACATTTCAGAAGTGAATTAAATAATTCAATAGTGTTTAAGTATGGGAGGCAATACACATCCTTGGTTTCAGTGAAATTAAATGCATTGGTTCTGTAGTAATTGTTTCTAAACTGGATATTGCTCTCAGCTGAATGCTCATCCCTTGGAAACCACTGGAACTGTGTCTGATGGAACTGGTGCTGTAGCAGCCAGAGTCCACGTAGGCTTCCACACTCTTGGAAATCATAAATTATTCCCCCGTAGCCAGAGGAAGGAGGCTAAGGTAACAATGAACAAACACTCTCATGGTTCAAACAGAACCCCAGAATAACAAAATCTTGTTTGATATCATATGATTTTGGAATACACTTGGCAAGAGGGGTTAAGTACAGACTTCCTCATCACTTCAATGGATCAGACATATGCTAATCCCATCCTGCCTGGAGCAAGACATCAACTCTCTTGGAGTGCACCCTTGTCAGGCCCTGGTTTCACACAACTGCTGCTCTGGCTGACAGGAGAAAAGAGAACTTTCCTTTCTCCACAAGATCTCGGTGGCACAGCAATTTGTGGGTCAGAGAGAGGCAGCTTCCTTCATGGAAGCTCTGCAGTCTGCTCTGGCAGTGTTGGAGACACTCTTTAAAGGGTCAGGATCTCAGGGCTGGCTGGCTCTGCTGCCCCTTTATGGTCTCAGCTCTCTGAGAGTTTCTCTGGAAACTCTGCAACATTCAGCCCCCCCTGCCCCATTTCCCACATGCCCTTAGGAACTCCAAGGGAAAACTGGTTCCTTGGGATCCAGGCTCCGTGCCAGGTGGGACTCAGGACGTGCAGAGATGCTGAGCAATAGGCAGCAAGTGCACAGGGGTGATTGCCAGCTGCTCCAGAGGGCAGGAGAGGTGTTCACAGGCCATGACACCCTCCTTGGCTTCCCACCTCCTCCAGCTGCAGCACCTGGAGCAGAGGCAACCAGGCAGCTTGAGGAGTCATGGGATTGATGTTCTTACAGGGGTGCCTGCCCTTAGAGAGGGAGGCATCAGAGCTTTGGCTGGATCAGCCTCCAGTCCTGATCCATCACTGGAGGATCAGTGCTCCCCAGGCTCCCCAGACATTTAAAACGCATCTCAGGGAACGAGTATAGCGAGCAACACTAAACATGACCATAAATCAAATATAATAGAAACAAATAAAAAAAGCGAAACGTTGCGTTTTGTTCACAGTGACGATCCCAGCGGTTCCACAAGCAAGAAAGCCGGGTGTGAAACGGAGGATCCGAAGGAGGCCGGCAGACAGAGTGGCCAGGAAGGCAGGTCCGACACCCTGACGCTAAAAGCCCAGCATGAGGAGCTCCAAGAAGAGCAGGCAGCGGGGTGTTCCCCTCTGGTGCAGAAGGCGAGCCTCCACCACACGGGCTCCCCAGTGAGAGTGCAGCGCAGCAAAGGGACGGCCTCGTGTTCCCATGCGGCTGCCTCCGATTATGAGCTCTCCCTTGACCTAAAGAATAAACAGGTACCAAGGCTTCCTCCTCAGGCTGGGGGAGAAGGGGATGGGGCGGGTGGGACTGCATTTGCACTGTGGTGGAATGACTTTCAGCAAATACATGAGCCTTTTGTTCACCTAGAGCTTTTGCCCTGCCTAACCGGCCCTTTGGCTACAAGAGGCTGATGGAGGAAGTGGCTTCTCCACCTGTGACTGAGTCACCCTTTCACCAGACAGCAGACAGCAGACACCAAACCTGCTGGTGTCTGCTCCTCGTTGCCTGGATTCAGTGGTCCAAAATGGACCTAGAAACCCAGTTGTGAGTGTAGGCTTAGAGATGGGCAGCCAAGAGCAGCAGCATCCAAGGGTATGCCTTGCTCACAAGCGTGCAGTGTCCGTAGGGCTCCCAACAACCGGTTGTTCCGAACGACCTCCCCCATGGGAGAGTCTCCAAGAATCATCTTGGCATCTTGGATCACGCAGGGCAGGCCCCCAGCACACTTCTGTATTAGTGTGAGCTTTCAAGAGGAAGTGGGGGTTACTCATTGAGTGTTCTGCACAGCATCTATCACGATGTCTGTGCACTGCCCTCAACACAGAGGAGGATGCTGAAGAGACAGGCAAGTTTACCAGGCTGAGAGAAAATGATTCCATTCTAGAAGTTGCAAGCCTTGCCTTCTGTGCCTGAGGCTACAGCCTAGCTCCAGAGCACAAGCTTGCCTGTCTCTGGTGGATTCCCAGCAGGAGACAGTGGGACAGGGGCTAAAAGCAGCTGGTCTCCTCCCTCACAGGTGAAATGTGTCCCCTCCCTCCTCGTCTCTGCAGATTACAGTCCAGGAGAGCTGTTGTGCAAAACGGAACCTAAAGCACAATTTGTGCCTTTTCCCTGGGAAGGCAGCTCAGCCAGAGGCTCAAGGATATGCAGACCCTGCAGTCTGTGAGGTGAGGAGGACAAGCAAACCCTAGTGACAGTGTCCAGATTGTGTTCAGGGGGAGAGTTCAGTGGAAGCTGTGCTATTGCAGCTGAAGGGTCTCAGCTAATGAGGTTTCCACAGAAGTAGCTGCTACTTCTGGGACATCTCTCTGCCATTTCCCTCAAGACACAGATGCTGTCCCTAAACATACATGTCAGATCAATGACCCAATAGATTTCTGAACAAAAGAGATGCCTTGGCTCCCTAGCTCAGTCTTTCTCAAAGTACTGCATACTCAACTCAGACAGAATTCTTGCTTCACACCAGGAGAAAAATAAGAGACTAATGAACTGTCTTTACAAGCTAATGTGACATACCTTCAGGGTGGGCCACATCTTGACTGCTATGTATGGGCTTAGCATCCTCAACATCCTAGAGCTGCTCTGGTTTGTCCTGGAGAGAGTCTGTCCTGTGTTATTTTAGCTTTCAGGTCATGTTGCTGTGTCATTGTTCTTGCAGCAGAGGCCAAATCTGCCCTGGATGCATGTGAACAGGAGAGACATGTTTAGCTGATTGTTCATTCATGTCTGCTGTCTCGCAGAACTGACCTTGCAGGGACTGAGCCTATCTCCTTGGTGAAACCACTTTTCTCACAGCAAAGGGGTATTAAAATTTGTGTGCCCTTCCAGACCCATGGATGTCTTCAGTGAATTGCCTCCAGCTCTGGGAGGGGGGATTTTCGGGCAGTGAAGAGTACTAACTCTTCCACTCTTGCACTGTAGTATGTGTTTTTATAGGTATTCCTATCAATTTACTCATCAGGTAGTTTTCTTAAATGGGAATAACAGTGATAGGACCTGCACAGCGCTGTCCCAGCAGAATCCTACTTCTAGCAGAACTTGTAATAAAGGAATAGAATTTACAGTAAGAGAAACAGGTGGAAGGAGACATTTTTAGTGTCACTGCACAATTGAAGACACATTTACCTTTTGAGAGAGGACTGAGCACTGGTAAGGAGGGAGGGTAAAGTGCAGCCTCCTCTGTAAGGCTCAGATCAGTCGTTTCCCCTCAGCATCATCCTAGAGAGTTGGTGAGTGGCTTCATGGCTCTCCTTGCTCCCTGCCCCATGAAACAGAGAATTCTGACAGTGCACAGAGCAGAAGTACTCTGTGCTGAGAGGCTGGAAAAGAGACTCAAGTACTAAAGTTCCCCTGTGCTCAGACTCTGTTGTAATGTTGGGAAAATGCATGGGACCGCAGGAAAGAGGAGCATGTTTTCGGTCACACATACTCTTGGCTGTGCTGAAGGGCAGCAGGTGTCCCATGGCTGAAGGAAAACACTCCATTAACAAATATCCCTTATAGCAATGTATGAGAAATCCATTGTGAGAGGCTGGAGGGAGGGAGAAGCATTGAGTGATAGAGAACATGTATGCTTTGTATGTATTCCTTTTTTTTCCCTAATATTTTGAGATGCATGCATTGCCTTGACTAACTCAGATTCTGTCCCTGAGCCTGATTCTTCTCAGGTTATAACATGGGGGCACATCACCATGCTCAGTGGCAACCTGGGTGGAAAACCAGTGCTAGCTGAGAATAAGATCAGGCCGTGGTCTCTCCTGGAAGAGTTATAAATTTATGCCTACAGGCAACAAAGCCACGGGGTGTGCACCTCAAATGTTTGCCCATATCCAGGCCTGCAGTTTGGCTTGCCTTTTGGCTTGCCTTGACCTTGTTAAATCTCCCTTCATGTGCATTCCCTCATGGCAGTGGATATTTCACAGCCATTTCTAATTCAGCCACAAGGCCTGAATTGCTCAGAACGAGTGTTCATACTGAGGACCAGAAATGTACTAAGCTAATTATTCTTTGAAATCCCCCCGACCCCCCTCCTGCTTTTCCCTTCCTTTGGCTCTGGCTGTCGGATCATTCCCCAGAGAAGAGTAGCTTTAAGTAGGCAATTACTTGTGATTCATGGGGTTTATTAGGAGCGAGAGAAGGCCAATCATGCCTGGCCTTTCTCGCCTCTCAGATGGGAAGAGAAGGTTCCTGCAGCCATCCAGACATACATCTCCATTGCCCGTGACTGCTGTGGTGCTAACAGATGCCCTTTCCTCCTCTGGAGAGGAAGAACACAGGCTACAGCTGTGTGAAATCCTTAATTCCTTTGGACTGTCAGTTAGCTCGATCTGACAGCAGATGAGTGTGGCTCAGACATCAGTAAGCAGCAAATGGCTGGGCTACAGCAAGGAAAAGGAGACAGAGACCCACTGCTACCAGACAAGGATGGGAAGGGCACTTCTCTCTACATGCTGCATCTGGCTCTGCCAGTCTTCTCAAGCATCCCTTGGAGCTGTCCCTGTCCCTGTCATGCCTGCTGAAAGGTTCTGTAGGACCCCCCTTGCTTTGGACAGTGCCAGCTGGCAGCGGACCCAAGGCTGGCAGAACCCAGCCTTGCACCCCTGTATAAGCTAGAAAACAGCCTAGTTGTGGAGTCCTCTCACTTCAGATCTTGTTCTGCTCCTTAATGCCTTAGTTCTTTAGGAGGACTGAGATTATGGACTGCAAAAAGCCACTGCCTGCTGATGTTTTTTACTGAGGTACTGACAGCTTGCTCTGTTCCTTTAGACCTACAGAAGGATCTCCCCTCTCTAGCTATTAAAGTCTGCCATTTTTGGCACGGTCCTTGCATGAGATAAACTGGCCTTTTACTTCAGATCAGCAGTGACATCTTGTCTTGGCCTCTAATAAGATCAGAGCATATTTCATGTTTTCAGAATGTCTGTCACTTCCTTGGAAACCTCAGATAATTGTAAGGCTCTTGCTTCTGCTTTATTTTGCATTTTACTGTTATTCTGTCCCTCCCATTTGTTCCTCTTTCCCTCCTAACACAATTAGCTCTACATTTTCATTAACCAGATCATTATTTTAAGTGCTCACGGTCAGTTGTCAGTAATAACTGTCTGTGTTGGGCCTTTGCAGGTTACTGGTTTAATTTACATTTATCTGCATGAGCCTTCCTCCTGAAGGAATGGGCCAAGGGATAGTTCAGTCTCTTTCCAGGCAAGCCAACTTTAAACACATGTCAGGAGTGTTGGTTTTATGGCAGGATTTAAGATGTCCTTGTTTATCTGAAAGGCCTGCTGCCAGGTCTTGTGGTAAACGACACTGTATCCGTGATTATTGTGGGGGTGATTTTTAGCAACATTTATGCAGACCTTTTCTGGGAGGGCAGCAGTGAAATTATTAAGCAAATGTTCTTTAAATTAGAGGTAAGCAGAGCTCTGAGCTAGGTACCTCTGCAACTGTGGTGGCCAACCCCATCGCGAAGAAAATTGCTGCTATTTGTGAGTGCTGGGCTTCTATGTTTGCCTTGGACAGACCCTGAGCTCAAGGGCAAGGCAGACAGAAAACAGAAGCCTACCTGATGTTTGAGCACAAGGCAAAGTCCCTGCTCCATGTCCAGAGAGGGGAATATGAAAGGATGTGCCCCCCATCCCACTCTCTCCCATAAATGTCAGCATCCCAGGCCTTGCTCCAAGGCCAGGATACCAGTGCAGGCACAAAATGCCTGGGCTAATGTTTTTCCTCTCTGCCTGCCATCTCCCAAGGTCACATTATCTTCCCCTGCTTCCAGAGGAGTTAATATTGGAAAGATTCCAAAGGTCATTTACACTTCTCATAGCTTTCAGACCAGGTCATCACATGTACCTACATCACCCACTGATGGTTTTATCTGTAACTTACACCATGTTATGAAAAAGAAGAAGGAAGCAGGTGACAGGACACAACTCTGTGAGCTGAGGCTCATGCCTCCATCTCACTCTGACTGTGAAACCAATTTGCACGCAAACCCGGATCTTGTGGATGTGAGTTTTTTCAGGCTGTGAGTACTGGGCCAGCAGGGCATGGTGAGGGACAGGTGCTATGTCTGGGGATGAGGATGCAGTCAGTAAAACTCGTCCTTTGGTTCTGCTAACGAGCTCATATTCACCACACGAGTGATGCAGCAAATCCTCGGCTAATTCAGGACTGACTTCACCAGTACTCTCAGTCCTGCTCTTCATCTTTTTTTGGTGTTTCCACGTGTGTATTGCACACATGTATTAACACTACAGTCTGCACCTGCACTCTGCCCTGTGAAGTGCCAGTAATGTAGAGTTTAGCTCATAGTTCAGCCTAAACCTCAGTGAAGGCAGTTTGAGTTAATTCTTCTTTTTTTTTTAACCCCATCTTCCACCTTCATCTTCACACCGTGTCCCTTGTCCTCTGTCAGTCACTCATTGGAACCAAATCCCTTGTCATTCCTGGAACTTGTTAGGGAAAACCCAGCTGCAGAGGAATAGTGGGGGGATTACCAGGAAGTTTAAATTCTAGACTACAGGAGAGACCATGCATACCTGCTTTGCTGAAGTCAGTTGAGATGGTGTGTGTTGATGTACTTATATGTGTTTGTCGTTACCACCTCAGGTAAATTCTCCTTCTACTTGTTTTTAGTATCTTGTCTCAACATTTAAAATTCAGATTTTTTTACCTTTCAAAACTGAGTCTTTCTTTTTCTGGGTATTTTTCTTTTCATTGCTGGCTGACACTTGAAAAACTCAGGTATCAAAAAGGAAGACACTTTGGGATTCAGAATGCTTTTTAAAAGACACAAACTCAGAACAAACCCAGCCTCCACTAGCTTGTATGGAAGTTTATGTTTCTCACTAACTGCTAGATCAAGCCACCATTCTCTGCATTTAAAAATTAAATTTTCTTCCCTTTCTCTGAATGATTTCTAGTTTCACTGAGGGTATTTCCTAAGGTTGCTGAGGAGGGGAGAAGCATTAGTAACATTTCTGATACGAGAGATAAAGCTTGACATGATCAGAGCAGGGCTGAGCAGGAAGACACATTGCTGGAACGTTGTATTTGCAGCGATGAACTTGCCCTAAAGGCCATCAGAAGTGATTCTGCAAGGAAAAGGCACCTGAAGGCTCCAGCTGTTATGACTGGCACTCCAGGAAGGGGCAGGGTCCTGTTACAGCTGTGATCGTAGTGCTGATGATTTAGCCAGTCATGCCCAAATGGGAACCTTCTGTCAAAATCAGGGGCATGGCATTGCAGGGAAAAGCTGATTCAGTGTCAGAAGTTCCTCTGACAGTCGTTGAAAACTGATCAGTGTAGGAGGTGGGGCGACAAGAAGCCATCAGGAGGCAATAAGCAAAAACCGACGTCTCTGTTCTGTTTTTCAGATCGAAATGCTAGAGCACAAGTACGGCGGCCACCTGGTGTCTCGCAGGGCAGCTTGCACCATCCAGACCGCGTTCCGGCAGTACCAGCTCAGCAAGAACTTTGAGAAGATCCGCAACTCCCTGCTGGAGAGCCGCATGCCACGCCGCATCTCCCTGAGGAAAGTCCGCGTCCAGAACTCGGAGAGCTTCTCTGCGGAGAAAGCCCTGGTGGAGGGGTACAACTTTGTGGGCATCCCACTGGTGAGATCCCCATCCTTGCCAGCCACCATCAGTGGGGCACTGACCGAGCTGGAGGACTCCTTCACGGAACAAGTTCAGTCCCTGGCCAAATCCATTGATGATGCCCTCAGTACCTGGAGCCTGAAGACCATGTGCTCCCTGCAAGATGGGGGCTCGTACCAGATCAGGGAGACCTTCAGCGCTAGCTCCATGCAGCCAAACCAAGACTTAGAAGCTGAGCTGCAGGATCAGGAGAAGGAGGAAGGTCTCCTGCCAGATACTCTACCCAAGAGCAGCAGCACACTCATGATGGCTTTCCGAGATGTCACGGTTCAGATCGACAACAAGAACATCTCTGTCTCATCGTCTACCTCGGTGTCCATGGCAAACTGTCTCAGCAGCAGTGACCAGGCTGGACCCTCTCCAGCTGCCAAGGCTGAAGAAAGCCCAGGAGAAGGGGAGGGAGAAGCCAGTGAACTACCACCTGCCCCAGAGAGCTTACCTGAGAACAGCCTCCCTTCCACCGAGGTGGATGTCAGTACCAATGGCACGGGGGACAGCGGTGCTGAGCCGGATCAGATGGCGGTGCAGAAGATCCAGTTTGATGCAAGCAATGAGGCAGGGCAAAGCAAAGGCTCTGAGTCTGAGAATGCAGACAACTCAGAGCAGCTGAGCAGCAGCAGCACCTCCACTTCAGCCAAGTCAGCCTCTGAGGTGTCCTCAAAAGAAGCCCTGCAGGCCATGATCCTCAGTCTCCCGAGGTACCACTGCGAGAACCCAGCCAGCTGCAAGTCCCCCACACTTTCCACAGACACCATGAGGAAACGCCTTTACCGCATTGGACTGAACCTCTTTAACATGTAAGTGACTCTTCCTCTGTTTCCCAGCCTGTGTTATGCCTCGCAGGAACTGATGAGGCTCTTGGTCTAGATCCATCTCCAGGTCTTTGTTTGCATTCAAGGGCGTGACCATCTGGGTATGCAATGCACAACACAGGTTGGCTTCCCAGAAACTCTTTCCCTAAATCCTCCCAAGTACTGTCCTTCTCTTCTGCCTAACAGAAGAACAAGGCCATGAGTAGTGCCCATGTTCTCACAACCCACTGAACCCCCAGCTCCACTTGCTGTCCGTGTGGCATCCACCAGCTGAGCCTGGGATCGCTCTGCTCCACTCAGTTGCAAAGGAACAAACATAGCTGGGACTGTAAACCCAGCCCTGGTTACTTAACATGGGGTAATTCCAAGTAAAGACAGAGGTAGAGCTGAGCTTAGCCCAGTATGAGTCATAATGACAAAATTACATCTCTGGCTGTCATTTTCCTTCAGATACTTGGGTAGATTTTCACCTGACAGACCAGGTTTAGTCACCTGTCTCTCACATATCTGAGTTTGATATCCTATGAGAAGGCTGTAGGTGTGAAAGCAAAAGCAGAGCAGAGGTTACCATCAGAAGAGGTTAACTCACAGGGCCACACGTGGATTGGCAGAAAGAAGCTGAGCTCCCTTAAGGAGATTTAGATTTGCTCCTTTCCTTTTGATGAGGCTTTTCTCATCTAAGCAAGCCACGAGAAGTGCTGGGTTTTGCTTTATCACCACTCTCAAATCTCTGTTTCCATTTGAGTCCCCTAATAATGAGGATGTAATGTATCCACACTAGAACATTTTTCCACAGGTTAGCGTGGGCATTTTAGTCAAAGCAAGGACTGATCATTATCCAGTCCTAGGCAGAAGTTTGCCACAGACAAAGGGACAATGCATGGGATTTATGTGTGTGTACCGTGGAGGCTGTGGACTCCAGGAGGCAGGCACCAGCAAGAGAGCTTTTTAGGGCTGGTCTCAGAGCACATCCAGAAGTGAAGTGATGTTAGGTCAGACAGATCTGGGACTCTTACAGAACTGAGAAGGACATATTTCCAGTTCTGAGTACAGGTTGAAGGACAGGAGTAAGGAAAATAATCTGTTAGCTCTGGGGAATGATGGCTTTCCTCAATCTCTGAGCAGTATCTCTGGGACATGTGGCCCCCCTTGTGACTTCCTATCCAAGGGGCTGCAAGGGCCATTAAGCTTTCTGCAGTGATTTGTTTGTTGCTTTCCCTGTCTGTTTCCAGGAAGAAGCCAGTTTACTATTGTGGGGTTTGGGATGTGGGCACTGATCCGCAGGGTGTGGAGCTCAGGCTGTGTGAGTCTGTGTGTGTGTGTGTGTGCGTGTGTGCATCCTTTTTCCTGGCTTTCCCTGGAGCAGGAGCTGAAAGCCTGCAGTTTCTAGTGGAATCTGCCAGTCTATCTGGCCCTGTCTTGCATTTTTGGAAGGCAGTGCTCTGCCTTGGGGCAGGCCTCTGGAAGCACACGGATGCGGTGGGACTTTCCCCTCCCCTGCTGCACCGTGAGGGGGTGAAATCCCTGGAATGGTGAGTGCTCCATCATGCAGCACTGCTGTAACAGCTCAGTGTGTGTGGGCAGCTGGCTGTGTGGGCAGAGGGAAAGCCAGCAGGAATCCCGCAGTATTTGCTGGCTCTGCTTAACACCCCTGCAACACCAACAATGAATATCAGGGCCCAGGCTCAGGAGAGAGGGGAGAAGAGTTGTCTGCTGCACATCTGGGTAAAAGCTGCATGCTGCACTACATGGGAATACATCTGCATGTGTTCAGTGGCAAAGATGCTGCATTGCTATCAGGATCTTGTGGAGGACAAATTGAATCCTGGGAAAAACTGATGAAAGGCTGCTGTTAGTGAAGGAATATTTGAGTTGTAGACTAGGCAGTGCAGGAGGGCTGTCACAGTTGGACTGTTTTATCCTGCATCCTCTGATGCCATTGTGTGTACCACCTCTACTGAGACCTGCACATCTATGCCAGGGTGTGCATTTTTCTGGCCATATTCAGCTCTCAGCTCGTCTGGAGTGGACCCAAAGTCAGTCCAGTGACTTCGGAATCACACAGGTGTAACTGAGTTCATCCTCATGTTGAGAACACCACACCATCCCTTGCTAAATACCAAAGTGTGCAGGTGGATGTGCATCTTATGGATCCCTGTTGCTTAGTTTGACTTGTGTCCCAGTCATACCACCTTTGTCCTTAGCAGGGAACTTTACCTGTACTCTCCAATGGTGAACCAGGAGCTCTGCGCTGGTAATAAAGAAGGTGCACTGTTGCTTTTCCCTGAGGAAGGCCTGGTGTTTTCAATATAAGATCTTGTACCTCTCCTATTTATAAATTTAATGGGCTGATTGTTCCTGCAGCCCTCTCCCCAGGGAGGCCACACTGCCCAGGATATTTTCTTTTGACATTATAGAGCAAGCAGAACTATTTCAAGCCCATCTACTTTTCACTTGCCCGTGAGGCTGCTGTAAGGAGCAGGCAATTCTGCTGAATGCTGATCCCCTTATAGTTGTTAGACATATGTTGCTCACCCACTTATTTCACCACCTGACAATGTCACAGTCTGTGCCTGTGCAGATCATGCATTCACGTGCTCTGAAATCTCATCCTATTCTTTCCTCGCCCCTGAAACTGCCTGAGCAAACTCACTCCTTGAGCCTTGATGAAGAACCCCGAATTTGGATTAATGATGGAAGCATGACATCATTTCATGAAGTCACCCTCTTACCTCTCTCCACTCACCAGTGAGTGGCTCAGAGAACCAAAGAAACGTGGCAATCTTCCTGCCTTTGCAATGATTCACCTCAGCACAGAGCATCGTGCCAGAGAGCCCTCAGTGGGGCAGACTGAAATATAAACTTCCTGCACAATACACACGTACCATTTGTTCTTGTCTGCACTGTGACACAGGCACACAGGCTCACAGCCACTCCCAGGATACACAGGGGCTTATAAACCAGGACAGAGAGATGGGGACACATGTTTTATCAGGGCCTCTGGCAATAGAACCAGGGCTGATGATTAGTTAAAGTGAAGGAGGGACAGTTTCAATTAGATGTAAGGAAGAAGATTTTTACAATGAAGGTGGTGAAGCACTAGCACAGGTTGCCCAGAGAGGTGGTGGATGCCTCATCTCTGAAGATATACAAGATCAGGCTGGAGGATCTCTGAGCAACCTCATCTAGTTAAAAATGTCCCCACCCACTGCAGGAGGGTTGGAGTACACTCCCAACCCAAACCACTCTGCTTCTGTAAGAGCTGCGTGTGCAAGCACAGACACTGGCACATTAAGAAGCAGAAAATCACTCCCACAGCCAGGCAATCAGGCCCACTCAGCACCAGACCTGTTCTCAGAGAGACGCTCACAGCCACAGAGGGAGAAAAGCCCTGTCTGGGAGCTGCTCCCTCCCTTCTTCTGACAAAGTGTTCTCTGGGTGCCTTCTCTCACACACAAAGATTTCTGCCTGAGGGTGTGAATCAATAGAGAAGGGAAGAAAAATACAGCTGAGAGTGAGGGAAGTGGAGGAAGAGATAAGCAAATCTGAGTATGGGATTTCTGTTCAGGCAGCCAACCTCAAGCTCAGGTGAAGAAGGTAAAAAGGTATCACTCAACAATGAATGTTGAAAATGTATGAAAACCAATTTTTTTTTAACAGAAAAAGTGTCCACTTTTGGTTATCCCCCTTGGAGTCTTGAGCCTCATTTTCCCATAGACCATGGCAGCAATATCTCCTAAGTTTCTTCACAGAGGAAAGAGCCTTTGGCCCTGGAGCAGGTGGATGGCAGAAGAGTCCCTAAGGAGGCACGGTTCAATGCAGCAGGGTCCTTTGGGGAGTGGGATGCCACTTGTGATTCCCAGGTGACAGCAGGTGCTGCAAGTGACACAGCAGGTCCTACGACATCTTTCTGTCCTCAGCAGCAGCTAGGGGAGCACACAGCAAGTCACTTTTCCTCGTCCCAACCAGTTCCATTCCTGACACACACGTGGACTCACAGGAGCCCAGGCACACACCAAGGGCTGCATTGGTGCAAGCTGTGGGCTGAGCCAGAGGCAACAACACCTCCAAGAGATCATGCAAACTCACCATGTCTCTGTCCTTCCCTTCCAGAAACCCAGACAAAGGGATCCAGTTCCTGATCTCCCGAGGCTTCATCCCGGACACCCCCATTGGGGTGGCACACTTTCTGCTGCAGCGGAAGGGCCTCAGCCGCCAGATGATTGGGGAGTTCCTGGGCAACAGCAAGAAGCAGTTCAACAGGGACGTCCTGGAGTAAGTGTGGAAATCTCTTCCCCTCCTCCCTGCACTCTAAAAGAGTTGCCAGCCCACTCTGCCCCTGGCTGCACCTGCAAGCACTTTGTTTGTCCTCCATGCCCCTTCACCTCACTCTTCAGGAACTCCACCACTGCCAGTCCCTGTCCGGCATCCCTCAACACATTTCCCAGCTATGTGTTTCACCCTTCATACCATCAGTTCTTTCATTTCAGTCCCTCCTCAGCAGGCCTGCAGTCACCTGGCAGGAGCTCAGCACTCCTGTTGCTGGTAGGTTTGGGGGCTGGGAGACTGGCTGGGGTCTCATCCCATCCATATATAGAGCCTCTGGTGCCTTCTGGGAAGTACTAAGAGAGGCAGAGGAGGAAAAATATCTGCTCCTTGCTGTGGGACCGGCAGGGAGAAGTGAATGCTGGCTACATACTCAGTTCTCTTCCTGTCCAGGTTAGCAATTATGGCCCTTTGAGTTTGTCCAGCTGCATTATGAGGATAATTACGAAGTCCTGTTTTTGGTGATGAGGATATGAAAACATGCTGCTAAGGGCTTGTCATTGCCACAGCAGCCACAGAGCACTGAGGAACATCCCCACTCCAAAATCTCCAACGAGCTGAGCTGGCCCTTTTCAGAACAAAGTCTGAGGTTCCCTTCCTGCTTCTATTCAGTGGCTGCCTTTGCTAGATTGTTACCTTCAATTCTGTCACCGTGACCCTCTCCTGGTCACAAGCCATGCATCTCTCAGCCTACACCTCTCTCTTTCAAGTATAGCTCATTCAGAGACCCATTTCAAGGCCAGCACTCAGCTGCATCTTTCTTTTATTATGCAGAAGCACAACTCTTAGTGAGAGCTGCCTTTCCATTAGGTGGAAAGTAATTTGTACTGGATCCTTTATTGCATTTTTCCATTCTCCAATATGTTCTCTATTCCCCTTGAATTTGGCAGTGGTTTCTCTTGAACCAAACCATACAAAAACTCCAAATCCCATCCACGTACCCCTTCTACTCCAGAGGAAGGCTGGAGGATGCCAAAGTTCAAGAGCCAAATCTAGGCCTAAAATTTAACATTAATTCCAGCTGCAATTGCTGCTTCTTATTGCTGCAGGTGCCTATCTAACCTTTGGTTCATCTCTTTTTTTTAATATACTGTAGAAGTATTGATTTGTCCAGCAATAAGACACATGTGCTGTCCAGTGTCCTCACGCTGAGAACTACAATTAAAAGCAGTAATTGCTTCTTTTTCTCCAGTAAGCATTGTGTGGGCTGCTTTCCCTGGCAGATAATCTGCTCAAGCCCAAACCTAGTCTCTGCACTGCAACAATAGGCTGACACTTCCTTGTAATCCTAAATTTGGCATCATCCCTGCAAATGACTGTGTTTCTCTGCCTCACATGGGACTACAAACTCAGTGTCAGCAGCTCATGGGGGCAGTCCCTGTTGCAAATCCTGGTGTCAGCCTCCCAGCCTCAGTGCCCAGAGCTGCTGCATTGGGGTTGCCTGTCCTGTTTCTGCATGAGGCATGGGGGCCACTGCTCCATCATGCTCATTACTCGATGTTTCCACTGCCCCTCTCATGGTAACACTCCAGATGTTCAGTGAAGGAGTGACCTTGCCCATCCTATTAACATCTGTGGAAAACAAGGCTGAAAGGTGGGGACCGAGATATTGAGGCTGTGTGTACCTGGATTCATCTTGGGCAGGGACTGTGTGTACCTGAACATGGACCAAACAACTGGGTCTGAGTACAGGGTTCAGACCTGTTCCTGATCTCTCCAGGCAACAGATGATGGGCTTGCACTAACAATCTGTGCTGCCATCCCCTCTTCACAATAAATGGCTGATTCGTCCTCCTTAAAGGCAAAGATAAAAGTAGACTTAAAATAAATGCAGAATGTTCTAAAACAGGAAGGAAAAAACATGCACATTCAGCTGGCTGTAGCTGTGCCATTTGAAGGTACTTTCTTCCTGTGCCAGTTCTGAGCCTGGGGGTATGGTTGAGCATGCCTGGTGGGTTTTGCAAGGAAATTTTTCGTTGGCTGCTCATGAGAGCTGGATGGGCAATAGCTGCACACCCAATGCCAATCCAATGCTTTGGAAATGAGGCATTGAAAGGAGAAATCATGGCCCAGAATGATAATCCTGGATATTTTTTCTGTCCCTGCTGCAAGAAGAGGGCTAGCAGTGTAGTGTGGTGTGCTGGCATTTCCAGTGCACTGTATCTCAAGGGCTGGTCACAACTTATGAGCTGTTTCTATGGGAACAAGAGGCAGATCAAAGACCTTTTGGCATTTTAGAACTGTCTAAGACCTAGTCTGGTTCTCATTCCCCATCCAAGTCCCATCAAACTAGCTCAGGAACACTGACACAGGCTGGGAGAACAGACTCTGCAAGGACTGCCTTGCTGTCCCCACATCCACCCACGCTTAGCAGTGTTAAGGTACATCATATTCCCCAGAGAGCATGTGGCAGACAGGAGAGCTCATACAGTAGCTTTTGCACAATTTGCCCAATACCACAGACACTTCTGTGACCCAAATGGGCAGAGGAAGAACAGGCACTTAGTCCTGCTGAGGTCAAATGTCCAGGCAGAGTGGCTGTGAGCAGGCAGCAGGGCTTGGACAGGCTCTGATCACCTGCAGTGAGCAAACCTGTATGCAGTCAGAGATGTCTGTGCTCTTTCACATCCCAAACCTGACCCTGGAGCCTCCTCTACCTCCCAAAAGCAATTTCAATTATTGATGCCACTTGCTGTGTTAGTTTAGCTTTTGCTCGATGTGAAAACTTATGTTGCAATTGTGTATTGTGAGCAATGTTTCTATTGCAGCCAGGTTGAATTAACCCAGCCGCATGAATAAATAATAGGACAGCTTTTAAAACATCTGCAAAAGTGTCAGCCTCCCTTGTGCATTTGGAGGCAGGGCAGAGCTGCCCAGGTTACAAACTCCAGACTCAGCTGTAATGTCCAGGCACAAGTCTGTACTGTGCAGAGTTCTCTTGGCCCCTGCAGGTATTGGAGCTGTTCTGGCTGACAGACAAGGCAGCCTCCGCCTGTTCCTGCTGTCCAACAGCAGAGCTCAGGAGTGCACAGCAGAATTTGGCACTGTGAACACAATCCCACTTTACTGCCCACCTAGCAAACATAAAACTCCAGAGAAGTGCTATGCTGGTTGCAAAGCCTTTTATGTAAAAGGGCAAGGGTTTAGGTGAGGTAAGCATTTTATGAGGATTGAGCACTTTGGTGTGCTATTTTGCCTTCCCACACCTTCATGCCCAGCACCTAAATGCCCTGAAATTATAATCTCCCTTCCATCTTCCTGCTCTTATCTTCCAACCTTTAACTGATTTCCTTGGAACTCAGAAAAGGTGTCTGGATTATTAACATGTAGTTCTACATGATAGCCAGAGGAACAACAGAGAGAGCAGGAGATTTTCTACAGTTTCTGACTATAATTGACACACACACACATTGATAACACTGAACCACTCAGGTCTGTCTCTTTAGGAAGATGCAGTATGTAATTTTCTTGTTTAGAAAAGATCCCAGTCTTTAAAACTAGGATATATCTCACCTGTTGTGGGCCACCACCAAGTTTAGTGTCTTGTAGAGATTTATGAATTCCTTTTGTCAGGGGAGAGACCCGGGGCCCTCAAGAGTGTTGTTTTTCTCAGTGTGCTAGTTCAGACGAGCAGCTTTTAGGCATTTTGTGTTACAGGGCATAAATCCCACTTGTAACCTATTTTCAGCATCCCACAGAACAACCATTCACTGTGATCAGCATCCCACAGTAAGACCCAAGGATGTCCTTCCTCTGCAGCCAGTGAGAGGGAGTCACTGGGGACCTGCCCCAAGGTTTCAGTGTCAGCCAGTCCAGGGAATACAGCTGGAGAGAGGTAGCCTGGCCCATTAAATACCTCTGTGGTACTGAGCAGTTTCAATCAAATCTACTTGTCAACAACTGCAGAAAAATAATTCTATTTCTTTGTGACACTCAGGCCCAAGGCATTAACCCATAGTTTTAATAGGAGACATATCATTCTTGCATCCTTTCTTCATTCTGTGTTTACTTGCTGCTTTTTTTTTCTCCTTCCTTCATACTTTCCTTCACTTTAGTCCATTCTTCCCCTCCACCTGTTCCTGACTCAGGAATTGCTTCCATTTATAGCTCATTCATGAACAAGATAATGTGAGTGATTTCATGAACAGAGTCAGCTGTGCTGGTAGTGGATGGTTTGTGTTCAGCTCATGAGACCTGGGAGTGCAGATGTCAGAGGAGAAATGGGCAGGGATTCCAGCAGAGAAAACATTGTGCTGAGTTGGGGTCTGGCTGCTGTTTAGGAGTGGAAGCTGCTGTTGGAGACATTCTCCCTGGGGGTGAGCAGATCTCCTGTCTGTCAACCCTGTGCTATCTTCTCTTTCTGTCATGGAAAGTCAGGGATTGAAAAGCTGCTCTTAAGTAAGTGCAGAGCTGGGGAGAGATAGATTGGGTTCCTCTTGGACAGACAGAATGGACTTGTCAGGTTAGCCCAAACTAGGCTTCTTTCCCCTTCTCACTGGGGATGCTACAGAGGGTCAGTAAGAGACTTGCATCACCAGAGGGTTTGGGCAGGAGCAGTAGATCAGGATGTGATGGAACCAGGACAGAGGGAAGAACGTGTTAGGGCTGTAACATGTGAAGAGCAGGGCTGTAGCACGCACCAAGTGTGAGTAAGAACAGCCTTCCCATGCCAGGCCAGTGCAGGCTGAAGGTGCAGCTGGAGGCTGCCTGGTCCCCAGGGAAGCTCAGGAAGGAGGAGATTCCCAAGTAAGCTATGTGAGCTCCAACAGCCATGGGAGGGGGAGTAGGCATGAGAGCCCCGGGCAAAAGCCAGCAATGCACCTGCTGTAGCATTTTCCAGAAAGGGCAGAGTGGTGTGGGCCGTGGGCTCCAGTGTAGAGACTGTCCAGCCCAAGGGAGTGTGGAGGGCAGGCTCGGGATGTACACCTGTGCCCACTGGAGCATGGAACTGGGGAGTCCTGCTAACTTTTCTTTCTGTTCAGTTCACATGTACAGGGCTGTCTCCTTCCAGGGAGCTGAGCTGAGCTGAGCTCTTCTACAGTTCACCCAAATCCTGATTCAACTTCAGAAAGCCTGCAGAATTAAGGGGGCTGAGAAAAGGGATGGTTTTTATTAATATCTTTGTGCCTTGTGAGTTTAAACTTTCCACCTGGCTGCCTCCCCCCTTGCTCCCTCCCTGAGTGGAGGCTGCAGGTTCATTACAGATGCTTTTAGTTGCATCCCAGCTCCTGCTGCATTGTCACCTGAGCGGAAAAGCTGGAAAATAGGTCATTACACTTGGGTGAGCAGATCCCAGCCCCACATGATACAGCTGCTTCCTGCCTTCACTGAACCCTTCTGCCACAGGCTTTTTTGCCGTGCTTAGCCCTGTGCTAAATCCTCACAGCTCTTTTGCCATTATGTCCATCCACTCTTGGGGGGATCTTTCCCTGTAGCCAAGGAAGCTACAGCAGAGACAATGGCTAAGTATAATAATCCATTTAGGAGCCCACTCTTTGGTCCTGGAACCTGGTGTGGAATTCTCTGCTTGTTGTTGTGAGGTGCCTCAGGGCAGATCAAACTCCTCATGTACACAGGTGGCACAAGAGTCCTCAACCCCCACCACCTTGTTTATGAGGCAGGGAGCCAGCAATTTCCCTGCTCGCTTCAACAACATGATCCAAATATCCGAAGTCCTCTATTGCAAATGAATCTCTGGATGCACTGCAAACTCAATTTGTGTGGCTTGTTGCAAGTTCATGGGCAGGAAGTTGTTGAAACATGAGATTTTACGAGGTGATTACTGTGTTCCTGTATCACCATCCCTCAAGCCTCCTGGTGGTCCTGGAATAGACATCTCACAGGTGTCCAGCTGCCTGTGGGAAAATGAACTCAGCACCAGTTTTGGCATGTGCACATAAGCTGTTGGTTTATTCCTTGGATGCAGAGAGCCACTGTTGCTGTTGGACACGAAGTAGGATGGTGGATTCAGTCACAGCACCCGAACAAGATGGTCAGAAAAGCTTCTATTAGCCAAACTTATCGGCTTTTTATAGGGTATTACGCTACAGGTTTTACATGATTGGTAAAGGGAACACCACCTCTTATCCCATTGGTGGGATAAGAGAAAAACACACTAACCACAGCTGCACAGAACTGTTTTGAGAAAACAAAATTCTTTACAAGGCTAGACCTTGAACAAGGTCTCTCAAGAGACTTTCCCTTGGGAACAGATCGGCCACTGACAGGCTGTAATTCTCTCAGGCTCAGAAAAATCAGGTCCACAAGCCACCTGCTCTCATATCCTTTGTCAGCTTCTGTGGTCTCTAGCTTGGAAAGAAATGACCTCCTTGCACTGGTTTCACAAAGGAAAGTTGTGCTGCATTTCAGGGGATGTCTGACACAGTTACCAGAGTGCATTTGGAAAGTTAAAGCCAGTCTGTGCAGGAATCTGAAGTAGGGGAAGGCTGCAAAACTTCAGCTGTCTGGAAGAGTAGCAGGAACATGGTGGACCCATAGCACAAGGCTGTCTGGCTCTTTATAGGGACTTTGCTGTGTCAAATTTGCACACAAGAAGTATCAGACAAGTTTGATCCACCCTTCTTCCTGCCTGTCTAGCAGCAGAAATAGCAGCTTGGTACCTGATGGCTCCACTAGGAGTTGTTCTTCAAGCCTTTGGCACAGGATTTGTCAGATAAATCAAATCCAAGCTTGAATCAAATGTTCTTCCTAAGCTGTCCTTTCTGCCTGGTCAACTTTTCTCAGTAAGCAGGACAGGGGACACTGTTCTTTGGGCTGAGAGACAAATGGAAGAGACTCCCAGGAGCTGGAATTTACAAAGCAAAGCTGCATCAGTCAGTCTGTGAGAGAAACTCTCCCAGGAGAATCCGAGCATAACTCATGTGGCAATGCCTGTTTGAGTTTGAAGAGAGCTATGAGCAGCTGCCTTGTCCTTCTTGTCCTAATGAAAGCTGGATGCTTTCTGTATTAAGGGCACTGACTTTATTACTCGAGATTTGTACACAAAGGGGAGGATGTGTTAGGACAGCCTGTGTGGAGGGGGAAAGGCTGATCCAAGGGGGAAGGAGTAAGCAAAAGGTAGATGATTTAATGCTGGTGGATTGGGGTTACTTGGGTGACCTTAACGGGTGTCCCTGGGCTGTGCAAGGACTCAGTGTTCACATGTCTGGAAGCAGACAATATCAGCAAAATCACTGGGGTCAGTGCTGAGAGGGACTGCAGACTGGAAAGGATTAAAAAATAGTAAGAAATGCCCAAGTGCAGAGGTGGTTGCAGCTGTGAACACAATAACGACTAACAAGAGGAAAACTGCTCTTACTATCAAAGATAAATTCCAAGAAGCAGAATGCCTTGATGTTAACCCAAGGGACTGAGTATAAGTATGAGAAAAATAAAAATGAAAAAGGAAAGGGGCAGTGGAGGAAGTTTTTGTTATTGCCAAGTATTTCTGCAGTCCACCTCTTGGAGAGATAAAAAAATATTTCATGGAAGATTTCCTCTGAGAGCAGTCCCTTTGATTCTCATCCCTTGCTCCCTATTTGTTCCTGAATTTCGATCATATGGACTTGGTGCAGAGAAAGAGCCCACAATTCCTAGCTGAGGTTGTAACAAATCCAACCTCAGAAGGTACAAAGCACTTCATGTTCAGTCAGAGCTCTTGGTAAATTATTCTGTGGGTGTCACCCCAGTAAATGGTAACTCCTGAATCCATAAGACAATGGAGGAATGCTGAGACATCTCTGGGCATTTGAACTCTGTCCCTCACCCTTTTGAGGTGTTGTACTACAGATTTTTATCCTAGCAAGGCTGCACATGGCACTCAACAGCTCAGTTCACAAGCCTGTCCCCAACAACCCACAGCAAACAGCAGACAGACACACCCCAGTTTATTTCAGAAAGGAAGAAGAAACTGGTAACAGCACATCACTCCATTTCAGGAGTACAGGTTTCTTTGGCAAAATTTCCAGATAATCATAGGAAACAGAAGGATCCATTTGAGACCTAATTCCCTCCCCTTCTTTTTTCCTTGTCCCAATCCTCATAAAGTCCCAGATGACCTGTCTTGGGGAAAATATCCTCCTTAATAACCTTAAATTTGTCATCAGTTTATCCTTTACCACATGGCAAAGCAACCCAAACACAATACAAAGAATTAAATAAAGGGGTTAAGGGGCTAATAGAAGTAGCATCCAAGGTACAGAGAAGCTGAAAATATGAAGTTCTTGAATTTTTAATGCACTTCTAATGTCAAGGTGGTCTCATTAGAAAATTAGTTACTTTGTATTTAAGGAAGGTTTAAAGAAAATGGGATTTCAGCACCTGTGATTTTCTTCATCTGTTGGACAGAATTTCAGTTTTGAAAATTTCTTTTTGGGAAAGAATAATGACAAGCAGAAGGTAAATTGTATGTACCAAAGTCAGTGGAAAGTAGATTAATTCAATGTCTGTCTTTGTTAGAATAACTAGTTTTCTAGACAGGGGACATGCAGAACATAATCCTAGACTTCAGCAAATCTTTGGACATGAGAAATTTTTTGTTGAGAGTGGAAGAGAGAGAAATTAGCAGAGGAATCATAAACAGGGGAGGGAATTGGCTGGTACAGACATTAGTGCCTACATACTCTGCTGAAATGGGAAGTTGGGCCTAAGGGACATTATGAACAGGGGTTTCTGAGTCTAGTCTTTTGATTAATGCTTGCACTAATGACCTGAGCACAAAAGGTAGGAATATGCTCACAGAATGTGCTGAAGCCACATGGGAAAGGTGTTGTCATTACAAGTGACTGAAATGTCATTCAGTAGGAATAAGAACAAGTAGATTATTTGACTAATACAGAGAGCAAGAACTGTAGTGTTAGGTTTTGGAGACTAAGAGCAGGGCCTTTATAAAATGAGAATGCTTTAGTGGGAAATGAGAGGTGTTATCCCCTTCTTGGGGTATCTAAATTGGCCGTGAATTTCCAGTGGGCAGTGAAATCACCTCAAAATGCAAAGTGATACCAGATGAGTAGGTAATAAGCGTGCAACATTGCATGTTATTTCTGTACAACAATTTCCATTTCCTGTTTTCCCTGAGCTGATCCTGGCCTTATTGATATTGATACAGGTGTCTCAATATCTATGTCAATATAGATGTCTCTATATCTATATAGATACAGGTAAGTATCAATACATATATATATATACACACATACCTTGTATATGCATATGTGGACGTATATGCTGTCTGTGGTGTGATATGCATATATCATGGTGTATATTTACACACACATATATATAAATACACAGTAAAGCACAAGAATTGCTCACCAGCTGTAGAATGCAGGAATCACTTGAGTGAAATCACTGTCCATGGTAAGCAGGATCCAGGAAGCCACAGTGATGTCTCAGGGCCTGTCCCATGGGATTTCCCATGGGGACTGGGCCTCAGCACACAGTGCAGGAGCCTGCCTGGTGTCACCCACGGGTTCTGATGAAGGCTGTGTCCCCCTCTCACAGCTGTGTGGTGGACGAGATGGACTTCTCAGGCATGGAGCTGGACGAGGCCCTGCGGAAATTCCAGGCCCACATCCGCGTGCAGGGTGAGGCGCAGAAGGTGGAGCGGCTCATCGAGGCCTTCAGGTATGGAAGGAGCCCCGCAGCCCCACCGCTGCAGCCAGGGGAAGCAGGGAGCACGACACACCCCAGGCAAAACCCAGCAGTCATGGAGAGAATGTCCACAGAGCTCCCTTCCAGAGAGGGGGATCACGGAGGGGCTCCTGAGGACGGAGTTTTTGTGGCCTGCTCGTCAGGGCTGCGGCCTTGCCAGATGTTCAGTGGCACTGAGGGGAGCGGGGGCCAGGGTGAGGCCAGTCCTGACATGGCTGCCAGCAAGGGCTCCCTGTCCACTGGTGACTCACAGGAACAGAAGCAGAGGAGCTTGCAGGGCTGCTGGCTTCTCCCTTGGTCATCCAGAGGAGGGCTTTGTGCTTAGTGAGGCAGGCTGGAGCAGACACCTGTATTACACTTATGTACTGACACGCTCTGAGTACTCCTCTCCAGTCTCACTTGCTTTCTTAGCTCCTGAGGACAAGAAACTGACGTTTCAGTGGCCTATTTCTGCCACTGGTGGGGAAATTTGCCTTCAGAGAGCAGCGGGTTCCTTCTCTCAGGTGTGAGAGGTGGAGTGAAAGGAGGAATGTGATCTGCTTGTGATAAAGCCATTGGCAGGCTGGAGCAGAGGGCTCCCATGTTCCGTGTTAAGTGTGTGCATCTCTCCTGCTGCAGCCAGAGGTACTGCATGTGTAACCCAGATGTGGTCCAGCAGTTTCACAACCCAGACACCATCTTCATCTTGGCCTTTGCAATCATCCTCCTCAACACGGACATGTACAGCCCCAACATCAAGCCTGACAGGAAGATGATGCTGGAGGACTTCATTCGCAATCTCAGAGGTGAGGGTCCTGCTTGATTTGGTTGGTTTGGGATTTTTTTGCCCTCTTGCTTTTCTAAATTCTGCCTAGATGAAGGCAGGAAAAACCTAGAGGAGCTGCCATGTCTTCTGCTGCTTGCCTGTGAGCCAGACATGGAAGGCCCTTTGAGATGCCTTCTAGGGTGCTGGGGAAGGGACAGTCTAATTAGCTTTGTTTTCTGCAGAAAGCTGTCCAGCCTTCTCAGGAACCAACCATCTTCCTTTGAGAGATGGCTTCATCTTTTAAGATATTGCTTGGAAACAGTCCATTGTGTTACATTTTCCTATTGTTCAGCTCCATCCTTCTTAGACCCTGCTGGGTTGTGCTAAACAAGCCCTACTTGCTGCTTTGAATATTTGAACACATTTTCCTTTCATTCAGGCTAAATCTTGTCCTTCTTAATTGCCTGCTATTACTTATAGTAACTGTAGGCATGACAGAGTTCATGCATACATTACCTCTTTGCAATTTTTGATACATCAGTTCCCCAAATCAATTTTCTTCTGCTTTCAAGGTCAGTCCTTTCCATCCTGGTAATAGGTTGTTAAAAGCACTTTTTCAGATGTGGTCACAACATACTCATGGATAAAGCCACTGCCTTGTTCTTATTTTCAGGTCTGCTAACACAGCTTAGTATTGTTTGGCCTTTTTGACATCATGTCTAGACAAATTATTGTCCAATTTCCCAGCCATATTCACTCCTAGGTCATCCTAAGTCAGCCATTTTTCAAGTTTCTCTTACTGCACATCTGCAATTCAGATAAAGCTCCCCCAAAGTTTTTCCAGCGTAAATTCCTGTCTTTTCTGAAGATTTTGTGCTTTTCTGGGTTCCTTTGACTGGGTTTCTTTGTCCTGATTGCTGTTCAAAAAGTGTCATCTCAGCCTCCCACACCTTCCACAATTTGTCACCTGCTTCAGACTGGTATAATGTGACACTGAGGCCCTCTTTCAAGTTAATTCCACAAATACTGAATGGGGCTGCTACCTGCCATCATCCCCTTTATTATTACAATTGATAGCACTAACAAAGGAGGGTTTTATTTTAATGGTAGCTTACAATTAGAGTTGCCTTTAAATCTGTCAGTTCTCACCACAATGATTTAAAGCAGCATGAAGGTCACTCACCTCCAGTGTGCAACACACCACAACTTTAATATTAGAGGGAGTGTATGTCACCCCATCACAGACCAGGAGAGACAGTTCAATCCAGACTCACCTGCAGGCCAATGCCAGGCCAGCAGCTTCAGCAGTCTGTGTTCCCAATGTTACTTGGGATACATTTGCAGGGATGTAGGCAGGGGAGCCAGGACATCTCAATGCCTTTTGATTTCTCACCTGCATCACTCAGGATAGCACTTGTCAGACCAGGGAGCTGGAGGGGAGGCACAGAAAATCAATATAAAATGACTGGAGGAATTCAGTTTGGAGGAAGGACTGGCAGCTTGGTTTGCAGTGTTTGGCTCAGGGAAGGCTGAAAAAAACTTTTCTTCCAGGCTCTGAAGGATCAGGAAGCAAAATCTGGAGAATTATCTAAGGAGATGTAAAAGAGGGAAGGGGCAGGGTCAAGGCAGAGACACCACAACCAGAATAACAACCAGATAATCTGCTCAAGTATTATTCCTAGGAGACAACACAGAAGGAAGATGGTGGAGGTCACCAGGACAAGGAGAGCTGATGCTTGCATTGGCAGGAAGAGCTGCTGAATGCCATCACAGGCCTTCTCCACATCTAGCACTTCTGATGATACAAAATCAATGCAGGGGTTGCTGCTGAGTGGCCCAAGATATATGAATGTGAAATTGTGGCTATAAAACCTTAGGGAACACATGGAAAGGAGCCACCATGCAGAGCAGTGGAATAATGAAATCAACTGCATTGGCCTTAGAGATGTCAGTCTCTCAGCTGGTGCATTGGATGCATTAGAGAAACAAAGGAGGCAGCCTAAAGTGAGAGATTGCTGTTCCCCTTCAGCCCTCCCAGCACTGCGCAGTGCAGAGGCAGCAGTGACCTGCCAGGGACCACTGCTTCTTCCCTTTCCTTTCCTCTCTGCCTGGCCTGCCCAACATTTTCTGCCTTTGGCAGGGGTGGACGACGGTGCTGACATCCCTCGGGAGCTGGTGGTGGGGATCTATGAGAGGATCCAGCAGAAAGAGCTCAAATCTAATGAGGACCACGTAACTTATGTCACCAAAGTGGAGAAGTCCATAGTTGGAATGAAAACGGTGAGCACCCATGACCCTGCTGGCACCCACTCAGCCCCTCTGTCCCCCACCTCCCTCCCTGCCCTCTTTTCTGTGCTTTTCCTCTATGACTTTCTTCTCTTACGTAATACTTTCCTTGCTTGTCTCTACAAATTTACTCCTTTTTCTCCAAACTCTTTATTTCCTGCTATCTCATTCTTTTCTAATTTTGAGGGATTTCCTTGGCCAGAGCTTACAGTATCTAGTGCAGTAATTGTTTTCCCATGCATTTTACTGCAGGTCCTGCCTGCCAGTGCTCAGCTGATAGCTCTGCAGTGTTTCAAACTTTCAGGCCTTTTAAGGGTGTAGGAAGTGAAAGGCAAATTGATAGAGAACAATTTTATCCACCTGTCTCTAATGAGTTCCCTAAAAATTGCTGGGGTTAAGAGATCCCCAAATGCACAGACAGCTTCTTTGGCAGTAACCAATCTGTAGCCCAAAACCATACACAGTGTTTGTCCAATATAAAGCAGAAAGGTTTCTCAAAGCCCAGGAAACCTGCAGATGTCCAGTGGGGTGGGAGAGGATGAGCTGTGAGCCAAGGCTGGAAGCCAGAGGTAGGATGTGTGAGCAGGAAGGTTGTGTTTGGCCTGCCCTCTGATTTACCCCGATCACAAAGGCTTTCTCTGTCACTGCACCAGCAGGAAAATTGAGGGCAAGCAAGGGGGGTCAGGAGGTGGTTTGTCTGGGCAGAGTGGGTGGAATTGTGTCACTGGGCAGGGTTGTGCAGTCTGAGGTGCCTCCTGCATGCCCTTGTGTGCTCCCTGCAGGTCCTGTCGGTGCCCCACCGCCGGCTGGTGTGCTGCAGTCGCCTGTACGAAGTGACCGATGTCAACAAGGTGCAGAAGCAGGCAGCTCACCAAAGGGAAGTTTTCCTCTTCAATGACCTGCTGGTGGTGAGTGTGCTCTGGCAATTAGGCACTGCAGTAATAAAACCTGCCCTGGTTTCTGTAAGGAAATCCAAAACCAGTCCACAGCATCCATCTTCCCCCTGTTCTAAGGACAGCTCCCAGTTCATCAACATTTTAAGACACAGCTCTGGACCCTTCACTGTTAAAAATCTACTAAATCTATAACTCCAGTAACCCTTGAAAAAAACAAGCTGTCACATCCCACAGCCATCCAAGCAATGTCATTGCTCTCTCTCATGCCTTTGCCAGCAGGGAGGTTCATTTCATGAAAGGGAGGTTCATTTCTTTGTCTGTTTGTACTATAGTAGACAGAGCCCTCTCATGCACTTTAAATCTTTTCTGCCAGACACTTTAAAATCACTGCCTTCTCATGTGGAAAAGGCTGTAGCAGACTAGATAGTACTTACCAGACCCCCAAATGTGTAGAGTGTTTTTGAAAGTGTCCTGCCCCAGCAGGTACAGGAGAGCAGAGTTACATGGGGCTGGAAGGAGGCCAAAGAAAATGGAAGTTTGCTGAGTTTAATGGTGAAGTGAACCGTGGTTGCGGCGGATGCAAGGCTAAACCCCGACCCTTTTGTAGGAGACAATAAGAGAGCTTCACCCACCTATTCCTCTGCAGCCATTTGCACAGTTGTGAGCCTGGGGAGAGGGTCTGCTCCTTGCTATCCCTCTACTCCACAGGATAAACCAGATCCATAAGAACTAGTGCTGAGGTACAAGGGCATCATTCTCATATGCTCTTGTTTCCAGCTCTAAGGTATTTATCACAGGCTTCCCTTTGCCTTTTGATCTGTTCCTCAGTGAAGAGAATTACCCTTTCAAAGTCAGAAATGTGATCAAAAAGCCAGCACCTCTGGGAGAGAGCAGAGTGGGCCCAGGGTGATGCCTACAGGATTCCAGAAGCCCTGTTACAAGGGCAGCATCCCAGGCAGATGCCAGCATCTCCAGCAAAGAGCCGGTCATTCACCAAGCATTGCTCCTGGTACACTTAACAGAGCTTGCAGAAAGCTTTTCTGCTTTGAGCAGTTTGCATCATGCTTGCCTCACTGCTCCCCAGCACCAACCATGCTTCTCTCCCTCCAACAGATCCTCAAGCTTTGCCCGAAGAAGAAGAGCTCCTCAACATACACATTTTGCAAGTCAGTCGGCCTGCTGGGGATGCAGTTCCATCTCTTTGAGAATGAGTGTAAGTCCACTACTCCTGGCATTCCTGGAGGGGCTTGGTAGGGAAAAGAAGGAGGGAGGGGGCTGTGTGAGTTTGCACTAGGAGAGGAATTCTATCAGAGTTAAAAGTGGAGGAGAGAAAACTGTGCCTTTGTGCCAGGGAGATCACTCTTTGGGTACACTGTGATGAGAAGAAGCTCCTGGTACCTCTCCTAGGTCTGAGCATCTGCAGAAGGGCCTCACTGAAGGATCTGGCCTGTCGTGGTGGCAGGGACACCAGCAGAGGTGAAGACTGGGGGAATCAATCCCCATATATACATCCAACTGAGCTCCCAGAAGCTGTAGTACAGGATCTTGTTGACAGAACTGCAGCTGCCAGCTTTAGCCCCTGTGCTCTCGTGCCCAAAGGCACAACCCCCTCTGCTGCCCTTGGTGCTGACAGAGGCTCAGGTGCTGCTGCCACCTCCCTGCACGGTGCCATGCTGTGCTGAGAGCTTCCCAAGGCACAGGCACAGCCCTTGGAACGGCACCCACCAAAGCATGGCGGGAGTCCAGCCCTAGTCAGCCTGACCTTGATGGTCTGGGAACAGAGCCATGATGTGTCATGATTTGGGCTGGTTGTGCCGTGGAGGAGCTCCAGGAACAGGCAGGCTTCCTGCTGGCACAGGCGGAGGGGCAGCACAGCAGTCCCAGGCAAGCCTGGCTGATGCCCCTGGGGCTTTGTGAGCACATGGAGAACATGCTGCAAGGAAGGCAAAATGTAGCAGCACTGTGGCTATAATAAGCTTTTCCCATCCCTCCTCTGCTCCGTTGGCAGCGTGAGTCACTCCCAACCCCCTGCTCAGCAGCATGCAGAGGCTCCCACATCCCTGTGTGAACCCAAGGGCCATTCATACCTGAGCATCCCCAGGAGGCACCATCAGAGCTGGAATCCACTTCCAGGGCTAGCATGACTATCCTGGGAGAGCCCAAAGATCTTCTGGCAAAGGCGCCCTGTTGTGAATCCCCTGCAGAGACAGTTAAGCAGATGTCACGAAGATCTTGTGATCTGAACACATGAGAGAATCAGGGCTGGAAAAGGGCTGGGCACACAAAGAGGGGGAGCTGAGGGCTGGCTGAAAATAACAGGTTAGGCCTTGGCTTGTTTGGAATAGACTGATCAAGGAAGGCTAATAAAGGAAGGCTGCCCACGGAAGGCAGGCTGACGTAGGAGCAATGGAGGAGAAGTGAAAGCAGGACAGGGAAAGACAGAAAATAAATTTAGAAGAATGTGAAAAAGGAAAGGAGGAAAGGGATTGAAACTGTTGGCTATTGAGCAGATAAGTCCAGTCAAAAGTGTGGCAAGTTCTCTGCACTCTTGTGTTCTCCTGATTCTTTTGGCTGAATCTCCAGTCATCACCTCCCTGCACATAAACCTGATATTTAAAACATAAGGCCTTTTGCTGTTATATTTTCACCCTCTGGGCATGGCCTTTCATTTACATTCCTGTGTGTTTTGCCTGTGGGGACTGCTAAGCAGAGACCTAGAAACACACATCTTTCCTTTTACTGTTCTCTCTGCCAGTGCAGTGAGTTCCCCAGCCACGCTGTGCCAACACCCCTCCTGTGTTCTCTGCAGATGAAAGGAGAGACTGGGGACAAGTCCTGCCACTGTGGGTGCAATGGCTTTGACCCCAGAAGACAACCTCTCCTGCTGCATCTCCCACAGGAGAAGGGTAGTTGGCCTCATAAACACTGTTTACTCTTCCACGGAGTGAGAAAGGCTTTACAGTCTGTTCTCTGTCTACCTCTGTTCTCAGGTTCCCAGGGCCAGTGCTGCACTAAGAGTAACTAAGATCTAGAGTTTTCTGGTGCTGGTGGCACCTGTCTTGCTGCTGCAGCTTGGTCCTTCTGTTCTCTTGGAGGGCTGCAGTGCTGCAGGTTCCCACAGCTGGCAGCGTGACAAAGGGAGTTTGCAATTCCACTGGACTCATGCTGAAAACTCTCTGTCCTTCAGACGTACCAAAACAAGCAACTACTCCATCACAAATGCCTAACACCTTTTGATTTTGTTGACACATTTTCTTTCAGATTACCCCCATGGCATTACACTGGTGACTCCGGTTTCAGGCTCAGAGAAGAAGCAGGTACTACACTTCTGTGCTCTGGGTGCTGAGGAAATGCAGAAGTTTGTGGAAGACCTGAAAGAGTCAATAGCAGAAGTGACAGAACTGGAACAGATACGAATTGAATGTAAGGGTCTCTCACACAATTCACACTCCAATGCCACCACTGGCTACTCAGGAGAAAGGGTAAAGGAAGAGTTCTTCAGGAGCAGGGGCAAAGAGGATGAGCAGGGAAAGTCTGCACAGGATGTTCCTGGGCTCACTGATAGGATGAAAAAGCACTCTGTGACCACTGGCCAGCAGCAGAAATGGAAGGACTTAACTATTTATGATGCTTATGAAACAGGAAGTGGGATACAGTAGCCTGGAATAGGGAAGCTTAGACTGTCACACCTGGAAGATTCTTCTCTGTCCCATTCTCCTTTGACTATGCAAATATGATCTGTAAATAGCTGGGATAGGCCTTGTGCCTTTAACAGGGTTGTCCTGAGGGCAAGCAGTCTGTGTCACTTATACAGACAAGATGTCCATGTAGCCTTTGATGGCTTTTCCATGTGGGCCAAAGCAGCTCAGCTTCAGTGGTCCCCATCTGTGCAGCACTAGCCAATCCTGTATAAATGTAGGTAATTCAGACGTAAATGTATAAATGTAGGAAGTCCAATGGAGATATGTAGGTTTCTCCACATGTCAAACCCTCACCAGTTTCTGTTTTGTCTTGGCTGTTCCTCTCTCCCTTCCTGACACTCACGTGTGATTTTCTTCCATTAATTCTCCTTGCTGACCTCCCATTTTGCTCCTTCAGTGTGCTGGTGACCCTCCCTCCATCCCTCTCCTCATTGATCTCCATGTGTCTGTTCTGCAGGGGAACTGGAGAAACAGCAAGGGACCAAGACTCTCTCCTTAAGGACCAATGGAGCCCAGATGGAGCTGCAGTCTAAGCAAGGCTCTCCAACAGGTAGGAGGGCACCCAGCTTCTCTTGGTCAAGAAGGGCTGCCTTTGAAAATGTGTTCTCACTGATTCCTGTGAGAATAACTGCAAAAAGAAGCGTTTGGTTTTGTATCCTTTAGCCTTGGCCAAATGGTGGAAATACGAGAACGTATGCATTCTTCAGATAGCCTAGAAAATCCCTTCGAGTCCCATTACCCAGTCTGTAGCTGTAATACCTGGGAAAGAGGTGTTGCTGATACAGCATGGGTACCTTCTGAAGAACCTGGCCCAGTTTTCTTCCCTGAATTGGTAAAGCCCACCCCATGAAGCAGCTAACAGGTTGCAAGAGGGTCTGGATTGGCCTTGCACCTCTCCCTTTAACTCTCCAGTGCACAGTATGAGAGCCAGCTCTTGACTAGAGGGGCAGACCTCATGAGTGAGATCTTTTGTTTCCTTTCAAAGGCAAGAAGGATTTGGGGGAGAAGGTCTCGGACAGCACAGTGGAGGTAAGTAGAGTGCAGAGCAGCTGAGGTAAGTAATTCTCTCTCACTTCAGCTCTTCTCACATTCTCTGTTGTTTCTTTTCTCAGGTTTTAATCAATGCCTCCCCAGCCAGACTGACAATTTTACCAATTTCCAGAGATACAATTAAAAGTTACTGCTAGGACGGGTAATACAACTTTCAAATCCAAACTAAACTTCAAAGCATTTTCAATCCGTTTTTATAACTGTAACATCCTTCATGGACCAAGCTCCCAAACGCTGTAGACTAACCCACCCCACTGCTTCTGGGGACACTGAGAACCCCACTGAGGACTTCCCTGACATGCTAACTCCATGCAGCATCACATGCAAATTCCCCACAGCCCAGCTTTCCTGCACAGTTTCTGCAGCTCTGTCTCTCCATCCCCATGAAGGGGATTAAGCATGGCCTTTGTTCCCCAGACCTTCCTTAGAGCTTCACCTTCCTAGGTAGGGAGCTTGGCTGTCCTGTGTACATCTATCTTTGCAGGAATGTCTAGCATCCAGTGGGTTGCCTGTTTCTTCACAGACACCCAAACTCTCACTGCCTGTGAGGAAACAGCAAAATGCAATCTTCACACTGAAAATCTTATCAATTAGTTCCTACTCTCTCTCTGTCTGGAATATCTCCATTGTCCTGAGCCTGCCCTTTTCCAGGGTAGTTCTTTCCCCTCTTGTCAACATATATTTACTTGAAGAATTCAGCTTCTCTGCAGGGAGTAGGTGCTGCTTCTTTTCCCCGGAGAGCACCCTATTTCCCTGCAGACACCCCTTCCTGGGAAAGGTGCCTGTGCCAGCCAGTTTCCTATTCCTGCTGGGAGAAGTGTCTCTGTGTAGAATGGCTTCCATGTATCCGAATTCCACTGGCACTTCACAGCCCAGCAACCAGTTTTTCCTGTGGGATGTTCCACTGCTGAATAAATACTGAGACAATGTTATGTCCTGCTGTGTGGTGAGCCTGAGCAACCTCCATGCCTGGACAGGGACAGACATCCTCGTTCCAGCGTGGTGAGGAGCTTGCTCACTTCACAGCTTCTCCTTCCCAGTCGCTGGTGCTGCTGCTGACTCTGCCAGAGCCTCAGGGCAGCCCCACTGTGACCCCTGTACCCCTGCCTGGCTGGAAGTGCCACACCAACCTGTGAGCACTTGTTTCCTGCTCAGGCCTTGTCACTTGACTGACATTCTGTTTTGAGCCAGCAGCTTAGCTCTGGTTTGGGGTCTCCAGCAGCCCATGTCCTTGCCAGGAGGAACTATAACTTCATCCATCATTTGGGAAGCAGTATTTCCCTGCTGCACTTCCCCTGCTAGGGACCTCCAGTCCAGGCCAGCTCCTCCTTTTCAGACTGGTCTCAGTGGGCTCCCTTATTTGATTCCATTATCAGCATCTCGGTGTGGAAACCCTGACGACCTCCTGCTTCCCTACCTGCTTTCAGCTGACCAAGTATTACTCTGCCAGCAGAGGAGCATTTCCATTTCTCTGAGATTATCTAATCTGCTGCCATTTCATCATGAATTTCTTTTATCATTGTATGAGCTAGATGGGCATTTTTTGTTTCTTATTTCTTTTTTTGAAAATCATTTCCTTTCACTGGCAAACCATCAAATGGATCAGAGGGAGCTGCCTTTTGCTAGACTGTGTCAGGTTTCTGCTTTTTCCTTTGTAAACAGATTAGCCAGTCATGTGGTGTACCTTCCTACTCAGAGAGGCAGGGAGCTGGGAAAGGCTTGAGTTTCTGTCTCTCTGTCTCAGATTCAGCTGCTGTCATTTTACTGAAACGTACGGCCTCGAGTATCTGAAACCTCGCAGTCTGGGCCCCCTCTCCTTTCTGCTGGTGGGGACAAACAGACTCGAGGTCTGTTCATTACCACGAGAGTTCCAGACACTTCCACTCCTGGAGTCGATTGGTGCTCCCCGTGCTTTTGGATAATCAAAGTTGGACCGCATTTGGGGACGCAGGCTCTGCTGCCTCTGATGTGATGGAAAGGACAGGGACACTTAGGCTAGATGGGGACCACGGGGCTGTGCAGCCAGGGTGGCACCTGGTCTGGTTGTTTGAGGGAGGGAGCCTTTCAATGCATGTGAGGTCGTCTGGTGGCGGGGGTTCAGGGCAGCCAGTAGCAGCAGATGGGAAAAGTCTTGTAACATTTAATGCTTCTTTGGCTGTTTCTAAACTAGGTGTCAATTCACAACAGGCTTCAAACGTACCAGCACAACTCCGCCCTGGGGCCCGAGAGTGGAATGCAGCCCAGCATGCGTCTTAACATGCCACGGGAGCGGCTGGAGACAGCACTGGTGCCCTCGCACCCCGCCTCGGCGGGGACACTTGTACAGTGCCAGCAGATTGTCAAAGTCATTGTCTTGGACAAGCCGTGCCTCGCTCGGATGGAGCCGGCCCTCAACCAGACTCTGACTCGCTACGTCACCTCCGACTCCTGCACCTCCACGCCCTGGCGCGGGGTGGGCAGTGGGCTCCCTGGGACCCCCGTGAAGCTGCTCCATCAGCCTCCCCTGCCGCCTCCCCCCCCTCCCTACAACCACCCCCACCAGTACTGTCCCCCCAGCTCGCTGCTTCAGAGGCGCAGGTACTCCAGCGGCTCACGGAGCCTCGTGTAGCCGCACCACCAGCACCAAACAGCACACACACACCTCCCCGCTTCCCCTCCTCTCCCAGGGACCCTTTCTGCCTACAGAGATCTAGTTTGTGATTTATTTTTTAGTAAAACAAGAAGAAAAAAAAAAAAAAGCCAACTGACCTAACTCTTGCCCCGTCTCCCCTCAAGATGATGCTATTTGTGAGGAGCCATCTGTAGAAACCGCTGACCTCCGTGCTCACACATCCTCACACCCTGCCAGCCCGGCTGGCCTCTGTGCTCGTGCTGTCCCCATGTAGCACTTTGCTGCCCTGTTCCTCAGAGGCTTGATGACCTGCTGCTTTCTAGGCACCGTGTCTTCCGATTCCTCCTCCTCCTCCTTTCCTGCCTTGCGTTTACCCGGCCATAGGTTTGTACCCCCTGAAACTTCGCCAGCCTCGGAGAGAAAAGGACTCACTCGTGCCAAGGGCCGACCTTGGGGCGCTCCTGGGGTTCTCCCTGCCACCATCGCTGCCGCCTGCTAAGCCGGAGTGAGAGCTCGCACCACTTGCCACGCTTCCTCCTCATCCCTCCAAGTATTATTTCCTCGCAGCAGCCAGCTCCAAGTGCAGGAGTGCACGAGTGGAAGAGAGCTTGAGAGGAGGAGAGACTGTCCTGAGCTGCAGTACAACACGAAGATGGCCTCGCTGAACACCAAAACTTTTCCTGTTGTTATGTTGGAGCATTGTAGCAGAGTCCTGTGCCGAGAGCTAGCAGACCTCCCCACGTGTAAATACAGCTGTGTGGTAGCGTATGGATGTGCATGTTTACTGAGGGAACAGCAGCCTGGGCCAGCAGCAGCGAGGCTGCAGGCCAGGGATCCCCCTGGAACCCATGGCTACTTTTCCAAAGAGACAGCACCAACAGGTGCCCTCCCACCTCAGCACTCACACACACACACACACACACACACACACACACACACTCATACACACACTCACACACACATACACTCACACACACACACACTCATGCACACACACATTCACACACACTCACACACACTAACACACTCATGCACACACTCACACACACACACATTCACACACACTCACACACGCTAACACTCATGCACACACTGACACACACTCACACACACACACACTCATACACTCACACACAGACACACACACACACACTCATACACTCATACACACACTCACACACTCTCACACACACACTCACACACACTCACACACACACTCATGCACACACTCACTCACACACTCATACACACACTCACACACACTCACACACTCATACACACACTCACACACACACACATTCACACACACTCACACACACTAACACACTCATGCACACACTCACACACACTCACACACACACACACACTCATACACTCACACACAGACACACACACACTCACACACTCATACACTCATACACACACTCACTCTCACACACACACACTCACACACACTCACACACACACACACTCACACACACGCATACACACACTCACACTCATACACACACACACATGAGATTGTCTCCTCCAAAACAGCCCCACCTCTGCTTTCCTTTTTCTGGCCTGTTTTGTGTTTGCTGCCCACCTCATCTTTGTTCTCTGAAAGCAAAGCTGAGTGTTATGTTCACCTTCTGGGGTGGGTGTTCCATTCACTTGGGCTCTTCCACCTGTCTAAGAGGGAAGGGGCTTTTTGAAGACCCCTCATGTGAGGTCCCATGTGTATCTCTTGCCTGGCTCTATGCTTGCCTCCATCAGCCCTTCCTGTAGGAAAGCTGCCCAGATATCTGACTCCAAGGCCTCTTCTCTCTCCCTCTCTATCCCAGCTTCAAAGTGAGAGGAGGGGCAGATCCTGAGATAGAGATGACAGCTCAGCTCCTCTGCTTTATTGGGGACATTGATGTGAAGGAAGACAGCATTAAAAATGGGCTGTGGATGTATTTTTAGAAAAAACATCTTTGTGCAGTAGGGAGGGGAAGGTATTAATTAGCTTAAAGGCTTTGGTCTCACTCATTCCATCTCCCTTCGAAGTTTAAGAAGATCAACTTTAGGATTCTAAAATAGGAAAGAATGCCTTTTGGGGCCTTTATTTTCATTTTATTTTATGAGGGAAGGACAGAAATGCTCTTCCTTCCCGTGCAAAGCTGAGACGTGAGCACTGGGTTCAATGGTAGGGTGAGGAATGGCAGGAGCTGGTGCCAGTGCTGGGGATGTGCAAAATGTCATGAAAAGGGGGATGGCAAAGACAGATGCAAAAACCAGTTTTTTACCTTGTGGGGTAAAAGCCACACAGCAATTTCAATTTCACAATGGTATTGTGCCAGCGTGCTCATCTCTGGGGCCATGGCCAGTGACAAAAGGCACAGCACAGCGGGACGGGCTCGGCTCCCCTCCGTGCTCCCTGGAGGCTGGGCAGAAGCCCAGCTGGAGTCAGGGAAACAGGGACTGGAGTGCTGGAGTGCACATGGCCAGCCCTCCAGGGCAGGAGCCTGCTCACTGCCAGGGCTCCCTCTGTCTGAGGCTGACCCATGGACCCAGCTGTGCCAGGAGTTTGCTGGTTTGCTTAGCTGGCATCAGGCTGCCACTTTTATCTGCAATAGCAAATGCACCGGGAGCCCACAAGCACAGCCTCAGGGAGGACTGCACAAGCAGATGACAGAAAAGATTGTAAGAAAACCCTGAATAGAAGCCCAGTCTCCCTCCAGACCACAGAAGCGTACTCCTGGCCAGCCCCCCAGGGCAGCTTGGATGCTCCATATCCTAAATGGGATGCTGGGAAAGGTCCTCACCCCCAGCCAGCTGTGAGGCACAGCTGTCCTCTGCTGCTGACTCCCTCCAGGGTGACACTGTTGCCTCACAGCAGCCAGAACCTCCTCTGAGCTGGCCACAGCTTCCCAGGAAAGCATGTGTGGTATCTGTCGTTGTCTAGTTCATGCAGCGTGTGGCTGCTGTTGTTTTTGCTCACTGCTGCAGTGGAATGGGTGTCCAGGAGGCACTGGCACTGTCCCCCCTCCCCAGCAGCTATTTCAGTCAGAGGAATGGCAGTACTAGTTTGGGATTTTTTCCAGAGTGCAGTGAGCCAGTGAAGCTCTGTGTGTATGTTAAAATAAATAAATTAGATTTTACTTGACATTTAACACAAAGTGACAACAGCAAAAGAAACTTAAGATACTTGAGGAAATAATTTTTTTAGATAAAATATTTATAACAATGCCTATGAAGTTCCCACACAAGATGTTTGCTGCTTTAATAATTGATTGCAAGAGCTACAAGAATCTAAACAGGAAATAAGGAAACTGCCTTGAGACTCCCTTCTCCATGCTGGATGAAGGGTAGAACTGCAGTGCTGAGCTACCTGAGGCGTGGTATTCTCTCAGGATGGGCCAATTCCATTTCCCTGACCTCGCAAAGGCTACTGCTGGACTTGAGCTTTGGACAGAGAAGCAAATGTAGATAACCCTTGCTGCTTTCTAGCCTGCTGGCTACCACATCCTCTGTTGGGTTTAGCTGGAGAGGCACAAACCAACTCTGTTCCAGGTTGTCATGGAACAGGTTGCTCAAAATTTCCCCGTGGGGCTGAGCCCTTCAGACCTCACTTCAAAATACAGATTTATTATTTTTTTTTGGAAGGTTGGTCTTGAAGGATGAGAAGCACTTTAAAACATATCTGCACCTCGTCTGATCTATTGTATTGTCTGCTCCCACAGTCCTCCCACACGCCAGCGAGACACACAGGCTCAGCGTAGCCGTGCAGCTGTGAACAGACACCCCTGCACACAGACTGACAGGAGCATCTCAGTGACACCCTAATGAAGGACAAAATGTGTACCACAGCCCACCTGGAGGGACCAGCCCAAAGAAAAATCACCTGCTCTTGACAGCAGTGATTCTGATCATGAACCTAGCACAATCCCTCGGGTGGGGGAGTCAGGCAGGGAGCTGCTGCAGAGATTAACTCAACCCAAATGAACCAGTGTCTTTTTGCTGCCAAATCCATGCCCTTCTATATTAAAAAGGAGTGGGGGGAGAGAGGAAACAGAAACCTAGTGAAAAGGGTTCTGCTGTGAGTGCTGAGTAGTCAGTGGCCAAATGAGAAGGTGGCTTTGCTGAACAGTAGGAGAGACTGAGCTGTGGTACAGCAGGCTCTGATGCTTGCTCATGGCCCAGTGAAATTCATCTGTTTGCAGCAGTAGCAAAGGGATGGGAAAATGTGACAGGAGAATTGAGCCTTGCAAACAATTTAGGTTTAATACAGTGTTTTTCTGCTGCTGTAGTAACTTCTAATGCCGTAGTCTTGGCTGCTGGGTTAGCAACACTTTGTGCTTTCACAAGGCTTTCAAAGCATCCCACTGTTCACATTTTCTCTCCTTCCTGTAGATGAAAGGTGTGGGTATGGTCCACAGCCCGAATTTCATCAATAGTCATAGTGAAAGGTACCACCATATTTGGGAACATTTGAGGGCCTCCAAGCCGTAAGGGTTTGAGTTTTGTTTGAGGTTTTTTTCAGAAGGCTCAGCCTGCGACTACGTGCACGAGTTTCTGAGCTTTCCAAAACCAAACTGAGACCTAAGCCAAGGATGCTGCTGCTTGGTGGAGTCTCTGCTTTGAAATGCAAGCTGCTGAGCAAGCTCCCCCCGTCTCCCACTCCAGCAGCTGCCTCACTGTGCTGGTGTAGGCTCCAGGGGCTGCCGGCAGTGTTCCGTGAGCTACAGCTGTCCTTGTCCTGCTCTCTCGTTCGCAGCCATGCCTGGGACAGCAGCTTTGAAGTCACCCAGCTCTTCAACACTAGTCACAACCCCATCTGAATGTGTCTTTTTAAAATCTAACAGCAGAAGTGTTACCTGTGCGTAGGCTTTTGAAAGCACCTGTCTGTCTGTACCTGTCTCCTGCTGTAAATACCACCAACAGAAGCTTCCTTTGGGAAAAGTGGTGTGGTCACACCTAGCAGAGTCCAAATGGCTAATATTTTGTAACAAAAACAACAGAAATAGATCAGAGGTATTTTATCTGTTCAATCAATAGAGTTTTAGAAATTATATTGAGATAATGTCACTTGTGCTCCAATGTCTTCTTTGCCTCAGCCCCCGTCCCGGTGTCCCTGGGCTCCAGCGGTGCCCAGCACAGCCACGCTGGCACAGCCACGTTCCAAGGGGTGCTCCCATGGGCAGCTGAGCATCCTGGACTCCTGCTGGCCTCGGGGCAGCCTGCTCCAGCTACTGCTGCTTTCCTGTGGAAAGCAGCAGGGGCTAGCTCAGTGCTCAGGCTCTCTGAGGATCAGATCCAGAGGAAACCAGGAAGCACTAAACTTGTTCAGGAGGTGGCAGCTTCATTGTGAAACTCACCCCTGCAGTGAGGCAGAGAGGAACGGTGAGGCGAAGGCAGAGCCCTTCTGTGCTCACTGCTGTCCATGGTGCTGGATGCTCTCAGTGTGCAGGCTGCAGGGCTGGGGAGGGAGGCTCACTGCCTGCACACCTCAGCACGTGTGTGAGCTCTCACCAGAGAGCGTGGGGCAGCGCTCACACCGTGCCAACACATGGCACCACACCTCAGAGAGCGTGCAGCCACCTCCACACGAGGTGCTGGGCAGAACTGGGCCGTGGCACTGCCTGAGCAGGACAGCCGTGCTGTGCCGGCCGCAGCATCGCCGCTGCAGCACATCTGCACAGCTGTGCAGCCCGGGAACATCTGCATGGGAGACACGCAAGGAAAATGCCATTTCCCCTGCAGATCAGACACAAGTGCACATTTACACAAAGCGTCACCCCAAG